TTGTCATGAAAGGTCAGATGACTCGGAACCTATACAGGTTGATAGGGAATATAGTGACAGATGGAGCTTTTGTAACCACAGATGTTGAGTCCAACACAGATGACACAAATTTGTGGCATATGCGTTTAAGGTATATGAGTGAACGAGGTATGATGGAACTTCATAAAAAAAAATTGTTGAAGGGTGTTAGAGCCTGTAAACTGAATTTCTGTAAGTACTGTGTTTTCGGCAAACAGTGCAAGATTAGATTCAAAATTGCAATTCATACGAGCAAGGATATACTAGACTATGTACACACTGATGTATGGGGGCCTTCACCAATCAAATTCAAGGGTGGGGCAGAATACTTCATTACCTTCATCGACGATTACTCAAGAAAGGTCTGGGTCTACTTCATGAAACATAAAAGTGAAGCATTCACGAAGTTTAAACAATGGAAAGCAGAGGTAAAAAAGAAGAAAGGAAAGAACCTGAAATGCTTGAGATCAGATAATGGAGGGGAATACAAGTCTAAAGAATTTCAATAATTCTGTAAAGAAGAGGGGATTGTACGTCACTTTACCACACCAGAACCTCCTCAGCAAAATGGCGTGGCTGAGAGGATGAACATGACTCTTTTAGAAAGAGCTCGTAGTATGAGATTGAATGCAGATTTGAAGAAAAGTTTTTGGGCAGAAGCAGTTAATATGGCTTGTTTCATCATTAATAGATCACCATCTACATCGATTGATTGTAAAATTCCATAGGAGATGTAGACAGGAAAGTCGGTAGATTACTCTACGCTGAGGATCTTCGGATGTCCAACTTATGTCCATGTACAAAGTGGAAAACATTCCAAATTAGACTCAAAGTCTAAGCAATGCATCTTTCTCGGTTTTCAGAAGGGAGTGAAGGGATTCAAGCATTGGGATCCTACGTCACATAAGGTTGTGCTTAGCATGGATGTTGTGTTTGATGAATCTCACATGGTGAAGTCAATCAACATGCAAAATGACAAAGTGCAAGTAGATGAAAGTGATGAAGAAAGATCGACAGTTAGAAGAGTCTGAAACACCAGATGAGGAAAAATCATCTCGCACCATACCAGAACAACAACAATCACATCGTGAACGCTACAGTTTGGCAAAAGGTAGAAAGAAGCGTGTTCACAAAGCTCCTGTGAGATACGGCTTTGAAGACATGGTAACCTTTGCTCTAACTGTTGGTATTGGAGAAATCGACTCCTTCGAAGATGCTCTAAGTGATGCACAGAGTGATAAATGGATGACAGCCATGATGGAGGAGATGGAGTCTCTGAAAAAGAACAAAACTTGAGAGCGTGTCACGAGGCTTAAGGGAAGGAAAGTGATTGGGTGCAAGTGGATCTTTCGGAAGAAAGAGGCAGTCACAGAAAAAGAATGTGAGAGATTCAAGGCTAGGCTCGTAGCAAAGTGCTACGCTCAGAAGGAGGGAGTGGACTATAATAAAATATTCTCTCTGGTTGTCAAACACACTTCAATAAGGCTATTGCTTGCTTTAGTTGCCATGTTTGATTTGGAGCTAGAACAGCTTGATGTGAAGACAGCGTTTCTTCATGTGATTTGGAGGAACAAATCTTTATGGAGCAACCTGAAGGCTTCAAGGTGCATGGAAATGAAGATAAAGTTTGCTTGCTCAAGAGATCGCTTTATGGTCTTAAGCAATCTCCTAGGCAATGGTACAAGCACTTCGACTCTTTCATGGTTCGGATTGGCTATTCAAGAAGTGAGTATGATTATTGTGTTTATTTTAAAGTTGATGATAATTCCCTTACTCTCCTGATGCTTTATGTTGATGACATGCTCATCGCTACCAAGAATGCATGTGACATAACTTTTCTCAAGTCTATATTAAGTTCTGAGTTTGAAATGAAGGATGTAGGGGCTGCTAATAGGATCCTTGGTATGGAGATTCATAGAGATAGAAGTGCACGTAAACTCTGCGAAACTCAGAAAAGGTATGTTGAAAAGGTGCTGGAGCGTTTCAATATGGAAAAGGACAAGTCAGTTAGCACTCCATTGGCCAGTCACTTCAAGTTATCTGAACGGCAGTGTCCCACTATGGATGAGGAGATAGAGCAGATATCCTTGGTGTCCTATGCTAGCGCAGTCGGAAGCCTCATGTATGCTATGGTTTGTAGCAGGCCGGATTTATCTCATGTTGTCAGTGTTGTCAGTCGATATATGAGTAATCCTGGAAGGGAGTATTGAAATGCTATATTAAGTGGATTTTCAGATATCTAAGCGGGACGTCAGATCTCGGAATTATGTTTAGCAGAAAGAGAAGCTCTACCGAACTGGTGGGATATGTTGACTATGCTGGTGATTTAGACAAGCGAAGGTCTATTACAGGGTATGTCTTTACACTAGCAGGTAGACCTATTTCATCGAAGGCAATGCTTCAACCTATGATTGCCTTGTCTACGACAGAGGTAGAGTACATGGCAGTAGTTAAGGCTGCAAAGGAGGCGATTTGGTCAACTGGTTTGGCTCGTGAGTTGGGGGTAGAGCAAGAAGGTACTGTGTTGCATTGTGATAGTCAGAGTGTCATAAATCTTGCAGAGAATCAAGTGTTTCATATAAGGACAAAACACATTGATGTGAGATATTACAAGATCAGAGAGCTTGTGTCAGAATGAATCATTCACCTGAAGAAAATTCATACGAATGACAACCCTGCAGATATGCTTAGAAAACCGGTCACCACGGATAAGTTCAAGCTTTGCTTGGACTTGCTTAATGTCTCTCATTGTTGAGAGTGCGGGAAGCACTCCATGGTAGGTGGGGGTGCAGTAGCGTACCTTTATGGAGGTATGGGGATGAAGACATCTTCAGAGTGGCTCGACAAAATTCAAGCCAAGGTGTAGATTGTTGAGGATTGATGTCTTGTATTCTGAAGAAATATATCTGCCAAGGTTCGGATATATCTGTACATGGGATTCGATATATCTGGGACTTGATATATAAATCCGTACCATCTATCTGAGACTCGATATATATCGTTGCGATTGAGGGTTCATCCAAAGTTAGGGGTTAAGGGAAAAACGCAGATCTCTTTCTAATTAGATAAAAAACAGAGAGGCGTGAGGAAGAAAGCGAATTGTAACCCTATTCTCCATTGTCAGTAAAGAAGCTCTAATCTCTCGTGGACGTAGGCACGTTGCCGAACCACATATATCTTTGTGTTGTAGTTGTTTGTCTCTTTCTTTTGTGTTTGTTTCTTCTTTCTTGTTTTTGTGGATTGCTTTTTGTTTCTATAGAGGAATGAAGCGAAAATCTGTACTATCTATTCCATATGCTCTTTCTGTAACAAATTTAGGGTTTCTTTGGGTCAAGGGATTACATACCTTTGTTTGTCTACTTGTTTGATGCTCATGTCGTAATTTTGTTGTAGGAATAGTCATTCCCTGGGTTGGAGGTGTTGGTCTCCTAGCCCAGGATGATCCTGCGCTAGTGGTGGATTTGTATGTGCTAAAATTCTTTTTTTGCTCATCTCTACAGTTATTTCAGTCTACTCCCCTATGCCAATCACATTGGCTTTGAGGTAGGCGGTTACCTAACTTTTCTCTGCATTCATGCTCCTGTCGATGTTGTCGTACATCGAACCCATAAGTGCGATCAAGCATAACATCGTGTTGTTCTCTCTCAGACTCGCACTCTAATTTATGCCGATCTTCATAAAAACTTGCACAATATGGATCTAACACAGTAGATCACATCTTGTTTGATGTACGTTGTTGTGATCTTTGTTTCTGCAACAACTTGTCAACCATTTACATCAAGTTGTTGATTTTCTTGTATATGTAGTCTTCCTCAGCATTCTTATGGTTACGACCTCCACGATCAGCCATCGTAGTCTCTAACCCTTTTTGAACCGTGCTCTGATACCACTTGATGCGAAAGGAGCCCGAAATTAAATCCGTCCTCCTTCTGATTTTAAGCAAGCAAAATTCAGCAACTATAGAGAGAGCAATGTAGTTGTAAATCAAGTCCAAAGGGAGAAGAAACTCCTTCATTTTTCATGAAAATAATACAAAAATTACCAACCCTCCAATAACAAAGCCTCCCTCTTTATAGAAAAAAAATAAAACCCTAAAGAAGGGAAAAAATACTAAAAATAATTTTCTCCCCCCCTCACGTATCTCCCTCTCTCTCTCTCTGTTTCTCTCTCCTCATCACGTGATCCCCCTTAAAAATAGGAGTTCTTCCTTTAAGAACTCGTTCACCCTCATCTCTCTGAGTCATGTAACTCCCACGTTCACCCTCATATCTCTAAGTCATGTAACTCCCAAAAACTAGGACTCTCATAAATCTCTTCATACGACCCATAAAACCCATTAAACTAGAGTTACCTTATCCCACTTAAATCTTTCCCTAGTTGTTAGGAATCTCCCATCCAAATCTAACTACTTCCCTTATCTACATCCCATAAGCTCTTGCCATGTCCTAACGTCCCATTATGGGAAACAAGTCACCCCATGAAAATAGCAAGTTTACCTCCTAAAGCTCTAAATTAAATATCCCTTTTAACCCCTACATAGAAATCCCTAATTAGAAAAAACTAAATAAACAAATCACCCATGGACCTTGAAATTCCCCAAGGTCCATGGGTGATTCAGGTGGGTCTCCCTTAAACAAATCACCCATGTTTCAGGTGGGTCTCCCTTATGTAAGGGTAGAGCCTATATGAACCATTACAAGAACCAAACATCTAGTTTTTTGCTGTAGAGTTGCATTGCGTGGATATATGTGCATCTGCATAGTTTTAACATCGTTTATGTTTTTTCTTGTGAACATGGATTTCTTTATTCTGCTGAAGTATATAGCTTCTTCATGTACCTTTCATGTTGTTCGTTACATTGTTGCTATAGACATTGTATATTCTTTGGAAATAGTTTCTTTCTTGAGGTGGAAAAACATTTTGAATGTTTCTTTCTTGAGGTGGAAAAACATTTTGAATCTTAATGAATTGTTTTTTGACAGGGATACCGACATATGAACTCATCGGAGACGTAAGTTTCTCTTGCTAATTCACTAATTTTCATTGAGATTTTATTTTCATTTGAAATTGACTACATAGTTGTTGATTGACAATTGAACTTTGAGTATGTCCTAGGCTATGGAATGGCATCTATATATTAGCAAGAATTCTGGCCCAATGATAGTGTGTAGCCTCATTTGACCCCTAATCTTATTCTCTTGATAAATTTCATCTACATCCCGATGAGGGCACGCTTCTAGTATTTCTCCAATTGTTGATGGGACACTGTGTCTTTGAAGATGGTAGACAAGTTGCGGCTCAAATGCGAGAATCATCCACACCCTAATAAGATTTCTTGGTTCTGAAAAGGTGCTGAGCCCCATTACTTTGTAATACGTTGTCAAATTTTCAATGGGGAAGAAGTATGAGGATTACATTTGGTGTGATGTTCTTCCTATGGATGCTTGCCACAGTTTGTTTGGTTGTCCATGACGTACAGCCAAAATTTCTTTCATTATGGTCGACAAATTACTAACACTTTTGGCATGGAGGCATTAAAATGACCCTTTAGTGAGGATCGTATATTCCTGAACTAAGAAAGGAGAGGGTGGAGTTATACTCTCTGTTAATCACTTGAATGTAAGGATGAGGTGTTTTGGTGGTTCAAGAGCCCAACCTGGACACCCACATTACTAACCAAATTGTCTTGGAAGAGATTGGGAATTGACACCTGACGAATTGCCTGATGGTTTGGCTCCCTTGCATCAAATTCATCACTGTATTGATCCGGTGCCTGGGGCTAGGCTGCCCAATCTACCCACCATCGAATGAGTCCTAAGGAGCATGAAGAAATCCACAGGCAGGTTCTCGACCTAGTTGAGAAGAGATTGGTGCATGAGAGTTTGAGTCATTGTGTTGTACCTGCATTCCTCCCATCAAAGAAAGACTGATCTTGGCACATGTGTGTAGACAATTGGGCCATTAACAAGATCATGGTGAAATATTTGCATCCCTATACCAAGCATGGATGACATGCTTGTCCATCTCATGTGGTCGAAAATCTTCTCAAAGATAGATTTGAGTGTTGTGTATCACCAAATTTGGATGCAGCAGGGGGACGAGTGGAAAAACACATTCAAAACCATAGTTGTTGGGACCATGAGTGGGATTGGATCGTGATGGGAGCTGGGGGTCGTGACATGCTAGAAGAACCCTATGGTTGATAGTGTCATCCATACAATGCATATGTTAACGATCGAGATTCCCAATGTTAGGGATCTTGATCCCAACTTTTTGTGATCTCAATCAGAACTTTGACATGCTCCAAACCTTAAAGGGTATATATAAGTCCAAATCGATTTAAGAATAGGAAGTGCAGAATCCCTGCCAGTTGGAAACTTCATGTTTCTGGAATCGACGTCTTACAAAAGGAATCTTGGGGGACAAGATTCCTGGTTTTAGGAATTGAGATTTTCAATGTTAAAAAATGCGGATTCGGGTGCCTAGGCATTTTGGGTGCCTGGCCGCCTAAGCACACGCCCAGAGACAGGGTGCCCTCACCCAAATTGAACCCCTCCCCCCTCCCCAAACAAAAAAATAGGGGAATTCTTAGGGCACGGTTTTAAGTCTTTGGGAGTTTTTAGGGCAATTTTAGAGCCTTAAACTCCTTGTGAAATAGACGAAAATGTAATAGTACAATCACATAATAGATTTATAGATACAAGTCTCAAAGAGAGTATTTTTTTGGGGAGTTTTTCTCACCCTAAAGGCCACGGTTTGTTTTTTTGGGTTTAGAATACCCCCCAAAAACCTTTTCCCCCCGTTTTAGGGGGAAAAATGACATTTTTTTTACCCTCGCAGAGGGTTTTTTTTGCCCTTTCACAAACTGTCACTGGGCGGTGCCTAGGCGGGCACACAAACTGTAGCGCCTAGGTGGCGCCTTGCCCACTTAGGCAGGTGCTCGGAGACAGGCTGTATAATTCCATCGCCCAGACAGTGCTTATGCATTTTTTGAAATTTTTCACCTAGGCGGTCGGGCGGCCGAATTTTGAAACACTGAACCAAAATAGAATTGAGATCCCTATACGGATGGAATTGAGATTCCTAACTTTTTGCAATCAAGTTTCTATCCTAGTTGGAATTGACCAATATGGAATCGAGATTCTTTCATTTATGGAATTGAGATTCCTACATCTTTGAAATCGAGAGGGAATTGAGAGGGAAAGAATACATGTTTAAGTATCATTCATTGACCGACATGCCATACATGCACGTTTATATTATTTGTATTACATTATTTCTAACATCTTGAAGTTGCAATCTCTCCATTGGATCAATACAATGGATAATGTGGACCACCACTTAGGTTGTTGGTCATTTCATGCCAAAAAGATGAATACACCTTGTACCTTGAGATTGAGTATCTAGCTCGAGTAGTTTGATTTTCAAAACTTCTAAATATCACTACTCAAAAAAAAAAAAAAAAAAAAATAGCAAAAAGAGAAAAAGGGAGGTGAAGTGGTAGAATTCTGGTAATGTGGAAAACCAGTTTCAACATGTTTAGAATCAAGATTCACCAATTTTGGAATTGTAAATCAGTAAATACTGATTCTAGACTTCACAGAAACGGGTTCCATGAAGATTCTTAGTTGAAATCGCTAAATCGAGGTTTCGAATCAGAATCACGACCTTCGGTGAAATTTGGGTGACTATGGGACCTTATATACTCTTTAAAATAGGGGTATCTTTATTTATAGCCAGCAAGCAATGTAACTATATTAAAAGTATAGTTGCATTGCCAACTGGCTCTAAATAACAAAAATCATCAATTTGGTTATTATTTCTATCTTTGAGATGGGGATCGAGATCGAGATCCCGAAATTTATAAGTTGAGATCCTTGAAGATGCCTTTCTTAGAGCGCCAGAGAGAAATTCTAAAGTGGGATGTCACCTAGGTTGGGAGATCCCAACGAATATGCAATGAGGGTCTCTATAAGTGCATGTGATGGATTTTGGCTTTTCAAATTTACCTAGCAAATTTATGCGAGTCATGACAACTTCTAAGACCCTTAATCAAGGAATTCATGATTGTTTGCTTTGATGAGATGCTAGTCTATAACAAGATGGTCGAGGAGCACTTGTGTCACTTGAAGCGAGTGTCAGAGACTGTAAGAGTGGAGAAATTATACATCAACCTTATGAAAAAATTTGTGTTCAACTGACAGCGTTGTGTTCTTAGGGTTCATCATAACTACAAACAGTGTGAGCGTTGATTATGGAGTGGCCAACACCAAAAACTATCACTGAAGTAAGCTTTCATGGATTTGCTACCTTCGACACACGGTTCATTCAAAAGCAGAAGAAGATGGATTGAGGCCTTTGTCCTTGCTCTTTCAGATTTGACAAAGTGTTTGAGGTGGAGTGTGATGCCTTACTGTGCTGGCATCGGGTGGTCTTAAGTCAAGAAGGCAAAAGAGTGGCCTTCTTCAGTAAGAGGTTAATGAATCCAAAGCTCCTATGATGTGGAGTTTTATGCTATTTTGCAAGCATTGCGACATTGGTGTCATTATCTCATACAAAGGGAGTCAAATAAATAAAAAACGACTCATACAAAGGGAGCTCAACTTTTTCTCCGATTGTGAGGTGTTGAAGTTCTTGAATGCACATAAGATGCTGAATTGACACCATACCAAGTGGATCTCATACTTAAATGAGTCACTTGTTATTAAGCACAAGGAGCCAAAGTCAAGTGGCTGATGTTTTGAGCTAAGTGACCCATCTACTCATCTACTTGGGACTCTTGCAACTGCAGTAATTGGTTTGAGATGCTACTGCAGTTATATGCTATTGACCACCCTTATTTTTGTAAGATCACTAACCAATGCATGCAGGGCAACAAAACTTCATCAATTCTGTGTTGTAGGATGACTTCCTTTTCTTGGGGAGTCCATTATGCATTCCAAAAAACGCCGGGTGGTGCCTAGGCGGCTGGGGGGTCCTGGCGGTCGCCCAGGACCTAGGCGGCCCATGTAGAATAAAAAGCATAAGAGGTTGTTTGATTCAACTGTTTTTGTGCTAGATTCTATATAAAAGCTAAAAAATATATATTGAGGCATATAAAACATTACGAATACATAACATATAGTCCATCCGTAGTCCATTACTCCATAATTCCATACGTTTCAAACCATTAGACATTAGTCCATACTCCATTGTCCATACCATAGTCAAAACTCCATGGACTCCCTACACAGTAAATGTAGGAAAATATAATCCAACATTCAAACATTTTGAATTTTGTCATCCATTCATCATCAAGAAAAGGAAATAAATAACACATATGACATATCAAATTCCATAGTCCACACACACTCCTCCATACTCCATATCCACAGTCCACACATACACATAAGAGGAGGATAAGAAAAAGGAAAGAAATATAGACTTGAATACTCAAAGAGTCTTCAGTCATTACTCATCATCCGAAAAAGCGGGTCAGCTGCATCATATGCATCGGAGTCGAGCCCATCATCATCTGAATCATCTCCCTCAACATATTGGTTGTCCTGCTCTGTCTCTACTTCCTTTCTCCTCCTCCGCCACCCTTGTCCTCTATGAAGAAGATCTAGTGGCCCTAAGAGGGTTGGCTGCTGTCTCTGAAGCCTCTATGACCATATGCCATATCAATTCTTCATGCGCCTCAACTTTATCATCATCAACCAACTACTCCATGGTATTATCCATGTTTTTTTATCTAAGGGGGTCTCTCTTATCTCTCTTAGCAAACATCTCCTTCAAGTATCAATTATACAATACATAAACTAGGTCATTGAGCCTTTATGATTCAACCTTGCTTCTTTTCTTTGTATGAATTAAATAAAATCACATGAAACTAATTAATATTACAAATTCATGACAAAGTAATAAGTAATTACTAACTACAATCTCAAAAGTACTCCAATTTCGCTCATTGCCGAATGAGGCAGTGGTTAAGCTCAAGATTCGAATGGTCAACTTTTGTAAGTTTGGAGC